GTGGCACATAAACAATTGGTCCAAAAGAATTAAATTATGTCTTTTTTTCAAGAAATGGGTAGGACAGAGATCATGATATTAGGTGAAATAAGACAGAGTCAATAAATCAATTGTCACATATTTTCTCTGATACATTAAAAAAAAGAATATATGAAAGTAATTGGGAAATTAGTTATAACATGGAAAGAAAATGGATGGATAAGAAAGTAAAAGCCAGTGCTTGAGCAGGTAAATATTTCCACAGTTCACTATAAGTGTATATGAAAATACAATAATGCAAGTCATTACTCTGTTTAAGTATTATACACTAATAACACTGCCATGACATTTTAAAAAATGTGCACTTACATATTTAATACTATTTTTAGATTTGCACTGAAAAGTTCATAGATAAATACACACACATGCACACTTATATATGCATAACATTGTCTTATATGTATTCCATATAATTTAATCTAAATTTACCATAAGTAACAGCAATATTCATTTTCTGTTAAAATGTATGGCATTACAGTAATTTCATTAAAAATAACTGTGACAGTAAAATTATGAAATTATGAATGTAAATTTGAAATACATATTTGTATGTACACAAACGATTGTTTATTATTAGACTATATATTTGATATGCCCATAAAATTGTTGTACTATATATATACATTTTTTCAGAATGAAAAATGTATAGAGAGAAATCCATGTCATATATAGTCCCAAAGGGAATGATTACTTTCATGAGATGTATTTATATGCACCTGAAAAATGATGTTATGACCTGTTTCCTTTTCATCAAATACTATGGAATAAGAGCTAGATTTTGCTTTATAGTTCAAGAGCTACTTCAAATACTGTCAAGGTTTATTTACTTAGTGACAAACAACAATATTCTGTTCAAAATTCATAGAGGGACATCTATATCTTTTTCTCTTTATCATTTTTACTGTCTGTGTATTTTGGTAGTGTTATCTTTTTATCAAAAAATGTCATTTTACCAGTAAGTTTCAAGAGTAAAATACACAGAAAATTCTTTGAAACAATTTAGCTATAATCTGCCAATGTAGGAAAAAATTATGACATTTTCCTTTTAGCAATTTATGTATAGCTTTCTCATTTACATGGTATTAAATTTTTCACAGAAAGAAAATTACCTGCATTGTTTTAAGGCATGAATGATGTGCTGAAATTGTTCTTGCTTTAATATAACATCTTGCAAACTGCACATTTCATAGATAATGTAACAGTATTAAAGCACAAATAAAATTGGGATGTATTGATCCTTTATTACAAATTGACTATGCTCAATAACATTTTACGTTTGACTTGATGTTTCAAAGTAGAGCACTTGAAATCAACATCATGTTGTTGTTTTTTTTAAAACTTAAGACATCTTCATGGTTTTGTTTGCAGTAATTGTGTGTGTTTTGCTGTTCAAAACATTCACGCTTAATTGATTTTAAGACCTTCCTTAGGATTAGATTATCATTCTGGTATTGAATCATATCAGCATATTAAAAAGGATAGATGTGTTTGGAAAAAGGAATTCATGACTTTTCAAAATGTATTTTTCATGCATTTATCTTTATTTTTTTAACAAAGTAGTGGAGACACTGGGTAAAAAGTCTTTGGTAAAATCTGCATTAGTTTTGTTTTAATATGTCAAGCATCTTTCTGGTCACTTTGGTAAAGATCACTGATTTCTGAGCTGTATTTGAGATCACAAAAAGAGTCCTATAAGGCTGTTGGTATGGTCCATATGCTATGTTTTAGCCTCAATCTGCTATGTCAAATTGAAGTTGCACATGTCAGAGCCTCACGGATGGTAAAGGAAATCATAATAACCACATTTAAAGGTTCATTACTTTCTTATTCATCAACAGATATTAGGCTGGTAACAGTAAATCCTAATAAAGGTGTATGAAGAGATCAATGTATGATTTTAAATTATGGAACAAATTTGCTTCTTTCATACTCAATGCCATGTTAAATACTATTCATTAACCTTTTAGCATAAGATTGTTAAAGCATGCATGCTAAGATGATGATGGTCAAAAACAGTCTCAATTTATATTTACTTAGGGTTATTGTTTATCAAATTTGTTTTCTTACCAATGCATAAGAGGCATTTATGCATATCATGTTTTACACAATTTATTTTACATTAAATTTATTTTCTTTAATGAAAGATAAAACTGTATTTTTAACAAGGATGCATAGAATGTCAGCATTTATGCACTTTATTTATTTATTCAAAGGATTTTATTTATTATTTTTATTTTATGTGTGAGTGTATTACTTGCATGCATGTAAGTGCACCTGTGTTGTGCAATGCCTGTGGAAGTCAGAAGAAGGAGCTGGATTCTCCTGGAACTGGAGTTACAGACGGTGTTAACTGCCATGTGGATCTGGGATCAAAACCTGGGTCCTCTGCAAGAGCAGCCAGCACTCTTAATCATTGAGCCAACCCTTCAGGCCCTGTACTCTTATATTTAAATCAGGTTAAGGTCTTGTAGTTCCATCAAATATCTCCTTAGAGTTAAAAGATTTAAAATGCACATCTAAGCATCTTCAACTTATAATAATTTAATCAATTTAGTTTTGAAAATTCCTATGGATAACCACTTTGGAAAGATTCCATGTGGAAAATAAGACAAAAACCCATAATTAGATAAATGACTGTAAGACTTGTATAAATTTGAATTTGAAGGTCTAAAGGAGATGTTTAAGGAGAGAGAGAGAGAGAGAGAGAGAGAGAGAGAGAGAGAGAGAAGAGAGAGAGAGAGAGAGAGAGAGAGAGAGAGAAACATAGGTAAAAAGATTTTGGCACTGATAAACAAAAAAGTTTATCAAAATACAGAGCTACACATTTCAGATATAATTTACACTGTTAATTTTATTTCATTAAGTTGTTATGAAGTCTTGATAAAGAAGAAAACACATGTAAAGAACAGGAAAATGGGTAATTTCCAAACTGCATAAAACTGCTTTTTAAAAGTTTAAATAATCCTGTATATGTAATTGATAATTATTTTTACATTTAAAAAACACTTCTCACTTATTATTAAATTTGGTCTTTATAAATATTCATACTCTTACCAAACTAAGTATTTAATTAAAACATGTTTGAATAAAAAATGCTACATTAATATAAATGCACTTATTATATAAATTTATTTAATTCTGTAGATACATCCAAACTAAAAGTATGTTTTATAACTGATTTTGATGATTTTTATCTAAATAATATTTTACTTGAAATATATTGATTTTAAAAATAAACTGAGTTTATAATGCTAACAAATAAATTTATATAAAGAAAATATTTTGGTGCAATGTCAACATTTTTGTTGTTGAATATTTCATTTATATTTTAGATTCTAGGAGTACTGAATCCCTTTTGCAACTTACTGTAGGAATGCATCATAATTAACAATGTAATTAAAAGTATAGGTAATGAATTGAATTCAAATATTTAATGTATTTGATTTTATATTTTCTTAATTTTTACTTTTGCATTTTTCTTTTTTAATAAATAATCCTTTTGACACATATAATTTAAGTTTTATACATATGCAAATAATAATCTATTTTATCCACTCAATAGTTCATTTTATTAGACTCATAACATCTTGTAATACTTAAACATTTTTCTCAAAATGTTTTAAAAAAATAGATTGTTTGAAAGCCAAAAAATATCAAAAAGTATGTCAAGGAATAAACTGTTTTCTAACCTTGCTAATGTCTTGTTTCAAAGAAATAGTGCTATTCAAATATGTGGGAATTCCATTAATAAAAAATATTTAAGAAATAAATTCTTAGTAA